GACAGCGAGATCCACCAGCCAGCACTCGTCTTTGAAGCTGCGGCCTTGCACGAAGTAATCGGTGACCGCCTGGCGGTCGCCGAGCGGTACGTTGAGGCGCCGGATCTGCTTTGTGATGGTGCCGTACCCGGCGGCAGGCATGTCGACCTCGGCAATGCAAGACGCCCGGGGTGACAGGATGAAGGCACCACCCCTGCTGGCGTAGTCTCCAAGGCCCTGCAGCACGGTGCCGGGGATGTGGCCGCTTATAGGCCGCACAATGACAGCCGCTGGAAGGTACTTGAGCCGGCGGTAGGGGCCACGGCCATCATCGGCTGGCTCGCGGCCATCCTCAAGCAGGCCGCAGGCTTCCACCTCGTTGTTGTGGCTCGCTCCGGCATCGGCAGCAGTCGTATCAAGGAGGATGTATCGGGCGCCATGGTAGTACCACGTGTCGGCGGTGGTGTGGCCAAACTCGTGATCCTTGATCCGCATCGCAACTGCTTTCTCCACGTGTGTCAGGGCCGGTTCCGCAGCAGCACCGCGCTTCTGGACAGGGACGTGGTCCGCATTCCACACCACAAGGCGCTGCTTCTTGTGCTGTGCCTCCAGCATGATGAGCCGGGTATTGAGTGTGTGGCGTGGTTCGTTCCTCTGCAGCACGACGCGCGGCTCGAGGTGTGCCAGGTCGGCCAAGTCGACGATGGCGCGGCTGTTAAGGTCGTCGACCATCTCGGCTATGCGCTGCTCGGTGGCTGGCTCACCGCCAAACATAGAGGCATACTCTGTCAGGCGACGACCAGAGGGGCTGCTGTCCTGGCGCTGCTGCTTCTCCAGCAAGAAGACCGTCTTAGCCAGGGATCGGTAAACCCGGAAGCCCTCAAGTATGCAGCTCTGCGTCTGTGGGACGGCCCGGGGCCGGCGTGCTGCTGCTTCGGGTTGCTGCTGACTGCCTTGAGATCCAGCGGCGGCCTCATTAGGGTCGCCATCGTTGTCCTCGTCTCCGTGCAGAGGTTGCACGGTTGGGACAGAGGGCGAGAACTGAGGGTTGCATTCCACAGCAGCGGCGTACTTGTAGAGGGGCGGGCCACCTGGCTTCGGGTGCTGGAACTCGTCGCCCGTGTTGGCGCTGGGACGGCCGCTGAAGATGGTGGCGGCGGGGTGGTCGCCGGCGAGATGCGGTGGCGGCAACAGGTGACGAGTGCAGGACTGGTTGCACGCACCCAGGTGGTCCAGGCTGTTCATGCCGATCTCGTCAATGATGAGTGCACCATCACCGACATTCCGATGCACCTGTAGGCTGGCTGCGCTGCCTTTCCTGACGCTGTCCGCTCGGTTGCTGCCAGCAGATAGGGCGAACATGGCGTGGGTAGAGAGGCTGCGATGCACCGGCGTGCTGAAGGCAGTTGCAGCAGCCCATGAGTAGGCGCAGGTGGCCGCCCAGTGCGGACAGCCATGCTGGAAGGTGTACCACAGGAGCGCTTGTACGAACTGGCTCTTTCCGGTACCGGGCTTGCCCTCCACAAGCATCTGCGGCGGGTCGCCAGGGTTGGGCTCATCGCGATGATCGAAGTACCGAGCCATGAGCATAAAGGGCACGGCCTGGTGGGGGGCAAGCGTGAACAGCTCGATGGTGTCGTCGATGCTGGGCGGCTGGGGGAGGTGCACATAGATGGGCATGCGAGCCTGTTCAGTCCGCTCAGGAGTGCCAGGCATGCGCACGATGGCGACCAGGGGTCCGCTGGTGGGGCGGTGCAGCTCGACACGAGGGGTGTCCATCTCAGGTGTGGCCGTCAGTCCCGTGTGGGCGCCCCCATCTGCCTCAACAGTGCCGGCTGCTGCGGCAACGAGATACCGCTTCAGACGCTTGGTTGCTTCAGTCAGGAGGGGCAGGTCCGCTGGTGTGATCCGACGGCTGAAACGATCGCTGCCTGCACCATGGCCATCCGCTAGGGCCGGGGCCCGGCAGCGCCGTGCTGCATTATAGGCATACACGCCAGCAGCGTTGGTGCAGTCAAACAGGTCCGTAAGAGCGACGGCGGCGAGGTCGGTGCCAGCCGTCGGATACTCCTGACCTGGGATGTACACGAAGTGCTCCAGCTGGTCCTCGGCGGGCGGCTGTGTTTCAGGATCAGGCCTGAGATGCCCGCGGATGCCATCATCGGTATCTCCATCCGAAGCGCTCGTGCTGTCACCTTCAGGCAGCGCGGCTGCTGCCGCTGCTGCACGCTGCTGGCGGCGCCGTTGGTTGTACTCCGCCTGACGGCGGGCTTTCCCAGCGTGGTCCTCTTCGATGTTGTCCAGCAGCACCGATACGTATGCCTGGTACGAGCGACCTGCCTCGGTAGTGCCCAGCTCTGCCCACCAGGTGTCGTAGGCTTCCTTTACAGTCAGCCCGGGGGGGATGGGCTGACCCCGGTGAGCTTTGAAAGTACCCAGGACAAACGCGTAGTACTGCGCCATGCCCGCAGCAGAGGTGCCAGGGCGGGGCCGGCGGGGAAGAGAGCCTCCAAGCTGTACATATCGTGGCCGCGGCAGGCGGATGTGGACATGTGTTTTGTACAGCGGATGCGTGCTGTGGAAGGCCACCAGGCGGGGCAGCTCCGTGGCTGTCTGAGAAGTTGGCTGGTCGAGTGTCGCTGCAGCTGTAGGAGCAGGTGGCTCAGGAGGAGGGGCCGGGGCTGCAGTCAGCAGAGGCACAGGGGCAGGCACAGGGGCGGTTATGGGTGTGGCTGGGGTAGTGCGCTTGCGGCGTCGAGCTGCCACCGGGATCTGTAGACCCAATCGCTCTCGGTGCGGGTGCTGAGCTGGCGGCACACGTCGGACCTCGTAGTTGGAGGCTATGTTGTACACACTGCAGTCCAGGCCGCTGAGTTCTTCCCCCCGCAGCACGTAGTTATGCACGGCGTTGGTCACCGTGTAGCCCTCCTGCTCCTCAGCCTCCACCAGTACTGCCGCTGTGGTCGCCACCTCAGGAGATTGCTCGGCGCCCGCAGATAGCGCTGTGAACGCGTCTACCTGCAGGTATGCGCAATCGAACGTCGCCTCGAAGGTGGAATGACCGTCCAGCTTCATGGCGACAAGCGCCATACCAGCCGTAATGGAAGCGGTCATGCGATGCACAGTGGCACACATGTTGCCAAACGCGGTGGGCCCACTGGCACCCGGATTCGGTGTCCTTCCAGCTAGCAGGAAATCCTGCACTCGGGTAAGAGCGTTGCATGTCAGCTGTGCCTGGCTGTCGTTGATGCTCTTGCCAGTGTACTTCGTGCTGTAGTAGGCAGCGTCGCGGGCGCGGTCAGCAGCAGGCTGCAGCAGCACACAGTCCCCCCGTTCATCTTCAGGGCGGGCCAGTTGCGCTGCTGCCTCTGCCATGTAGACGCGATCCACCTCGCACGCCAGACTAAACAGCTGGTTGCACCCAAATGCCAGCGCTGCAGCTGGCATGTGCGGTACAATGTTCGGGCCCAATCGCGGCAGAAGGAAGAGGCCGCCGGTGCCAATCCACTGGAAGGCGCTGCGCAGGACACGAGGGAATGCCATGCCACAGCTATCATCTGTGCCACGGCAGCCGTGTCGCTTGCAGGTGT